TTGTCATTATCATTCATTTCGCCCACTACATAAGTGACAAGCTGAAATTGAACTGTTTGACAGATTCAAATAAAAGCTTTTTGCTTTGTTGACATATTGATGTTATCTACTAGCTAGCTCCCTGACTGTACACATACATTTTGAATGTAGTGTAAGACACAAGTTCATTTGTTTAAATCAAACTGGATGTTCAGTGTGAGTTAGGTTGAAACTTCTCATCCACTGGAGAAGATGCACAACATGTCTCCTTGCAGGAGCAATAGTGTTAAATTCGCCGCATATTGAATTGTTATGTGGGGACTGCTAAGGATCCATCAGAACTGAACCTTACTCCACAAGAAACCCATCAGTTTGTCATCTGAGCCTCTGTAGACACACATAGAAAAGCTCCAAATACCTTTTAGAAAGTAAGTGAGCAGTAAGAGAGGATACAATCAGAGAGTGGAAAGTGTCAATTAACTTTTATTTGAAATATAATTTTGCATGTTTTTTTTTAAAATAATGAAATATTGAGCAAAGCTGAGACAAAAGACAACAAGAAGGAGAGTGCCTCCATCTTACATTACATTACCTCCCCTGTCCCCTCTCTCTCTCTCTCTCTCTCTCTTTTCGCGTACCCCTCAGTTCACTCATCTGTAACCATTCTCACTCGGTTTCACACCGCTCTGTCTCCAATTTCAATCTCACAACACTGTCCTCAGTCTCAGTTGTCAAGGTAAAAACCCACACAACATGATTGGATTTTCATGCATGCGTACTATCTTTGTGTGTGCATTTTTGATGTCTGTTTAGCAATAAAAATACCACTGTTTAAGAAAAAATTGTTTTTACTTCTTATAGCCTGAAGTCCTGTCTGTGAATAGGTTTGAGATAGTAATTGATTTCTTTCATCTAGCAGCCTGAAAGAGGAAAAAAAATAATTTTATTGCTTGTTGCCAAAGGGTTGGCTTCTTTTATTTTTTAAAATAATAAATGTAAGCAACATGGACCAAATTTGAAAATGTATTGATATTTTGTAGCTGAATGGGGTTTAAGAATGTGAACACACGGATTCTACGGAAGGAAGGTCACAGTTTTGTATTCAAGACTGACACTGTCCAGGTTGTGCTAAAAAGACCAAACTGTGGAGGAATATAAATGATGTTCTTGATAAGTATGTATATTAATATAAGGCACAGACATGCACATAAGTACTTTATGCTACCTGCTTAAAAAGATGCACTGAAAGAAAGTTGAGAAAGGGGAGATGATAATTTCCTACTGTGTTTAATGCTAATTATTTTACTGAAAAGAACAATGTAAAAGCTTTTGCCTCAACACGGTGTAATAGTTTGCTTGAGCAGAGCACAAACATGGCGGTGAATGCATAATGATAATCATTCCTCAGGGACTCTAAATCTGCCAGAAGCTCCAGCCTACTGACTGCTTCCTGTTCAACCAACTGTTGCTAAACAGAATCAAGCAAAAGTGGTTGATAGAAAGAAAGCTAAGAGAGCACAGTGAGAGCCACGGGGTAAGAGATTGAAACTTGAACTTTTATTGAACGAATCAATTGTGCTCATTTTAACGAAGCTTTTAATAAATTGTTTCAGTTTGTAATAAACTGCAACTGAAAGTTAGGAAAAATAAAACTAGCTACTTCAGAGTATTCATTTAGTGTAATTACACAGTTATTAGGGTTTAGCAGCTTTAGGAAATTCATGAACATTTCAGCTTTATCTGAGCTGAGTTCATAATTTTTGAAGTGACTTTTGAAAACACTGAAAAAAAACATTCATCCACAACTGCTATGTAAGAAAGTACAGTAATAACTTTTCTATCATTGTGCCATATTTAGAGCATTCTGTTGTTGCTTCCCAGCTGGGGCAGCACAGTATGGTCACTGAAAGAACAGATTAAAGGAGTGGATTGGCCTACTTTATCCTCATTTATGCTCTTCTTCTGTTCTGTTTTTAAGTTTTTAGTCTTATCTGAAATAAAATTGAAATGTTGGGGATTTATTTAGAAGAATTCTGTTGTTTTTTGGCAGAATTGTGTACAAGTAAAATCAGATGCGTGGGAAGGTACTGACTGAGCATTTCAAAAAATGATACTGCAAAAGGAAACATCGAGATGCCTTCATTCAGTTGTTTGAGGACCATTTTGTATGTATATATATATATATATATACAGTGGGGCAAAAAAGTATTTAGTCAGCCACCGATTGTGCAAGTTCCCCCACTTAAAATGATGACAGAGGTCAGTAATTTGCACCAGAGGTACACTTCAACTGTGAGAGACAGAATGTGAAAAAAAAATCCATGAATCCACATGGTAGGATTTGTAAAGAATTTATTCGTAAATCAGGGTGGAAAATAAGTATTTGGTCACCTCAAACAAGGAAAATCTCTGGCTCTCACAGACCTGTAACGTCTTCTGTAAGAAGCTTTTCTGTCCCCCACTCGTTACCTGTATGAATGGCACCTGTTTGAACTCATCATCTGTATAAAAGACACCTGTCCACAGCCTCAAACAGTCAGACTCCAAACTCCGCCATGGCCAAGACCAAAGAGCTTTCGAAGGACACCAGGAAAAGTATTGTAGACCTGCACCAGACTGGGAAGAGTGAATCTACAATAGGCAAGCAGCTTGGTGTGAAAAAATCAACTGTGGGAGCAATCATCAGAAAATGGAAGACATACAAGACCACTGATAATCTCCCTCGATCTGGGGCTCCACGCAAGATCTCATCCCGTGGGGTCAAAATGATCATGAGAACGGTGAGCAAAGATCCCAGAACCACACGGGGGGACCTGGTGAATGACCTGCAGAGAGCTGGGACCAAAGTAACAAAGGTCACCATCAGTAACACACTACAACGGCAGGGAATCAAATCCCGCAGTGCCAGACGTGTCCCGCTGCTGAAGCCAGTGCATGTCCAGGCCCGTCTGAAGTTTGCCAGAGAGCACATGGATGATACAGCAGAGGATTGGGAGAATGTCATGTGGTCAGATGAAACCAAAGTAGAACTTTTTGGTATAAACTCAACTCGTCGTGTTTGGAGGAAGAAGAATACTGAGTTGCATCCCAAGAACACCATACCTACTGTGAAGCATGGGGGTGGAAACATCATGCTATGGGGCTGTTTTTCTGCCAAGGGGACAGGACGACTGATCCGTGTTAAGGACAGAATGAATGGGGCCATGTATCGTGAGATTTTGAGCCAAAACCTCCTTCCATCAGTGAGAACTTTGAAGATGAAACGAGGCTGGGTCTTCCAACATGACAATGATCCAAAACACACCGCCCGGGCAACAAAGGAGTGGCTCCGTAAGAAGCATTTGAAAGTCCTGGAGTGGCCTAGCCAGTCTCCAGACCTCAACCCCATAGAAAATCTGTGGCGGGAGTTGAAAGTCCGTGTTGCTCGGCGACAGCCCCAAAACATCACTGCTCTCGAGAAGATCTGCATGGAGGAATGGGCCAAAATACCAGCTACTGTGTGTGCAAACCTGGTAAAGACCTATAGTAAACGTTTGACCTCTGTTATTGCCAACAAAGGTTATGTTACAAAGTATTGAGTTGTATTTTTGTTATTGACCAAATACTTATTTTCCACCCTGATTTACGAATAAATTCTTTACAAATCCTACCATGTGGATTCATGGATTTATTTTTCACATTCTGTCTCTCACAGTTGAAGTGTACCTCTGGTGCAAATTACTGACCTCTGTCATCATTTTAGGTGGGGGAACTTGCACAATCGGTGGCTGACTAAATACTTTTTTGCCCCACTGTATATAATATATTGTGTTGGGAAGGTTACTTTTAAAATGTATTCCATTACAGAATACAGAATACATGCCCCAAAATGTATTCTGTAACGTATTCCGTTACGTTACTCAATGACAGTAACGTATTCTGAATACTTTGGATTACTTAATATATTATCATGCTTTTTACAACAACGTGAATGTACTATTGCTGTGTGATTTATTACTATTACTGAAGGTCCGCGACTCCGAACTGTAGTAAAGGGACCTCTGACTAATACGGCGGGGTCCCTGTCGGCTCGTAGCCGAAAAATAGCTTTACTTTGTTGTGTGGGTCAACTTTTCTTGCGAGAGACAGAGAGAGGCGTTGAAAGGCTGCTCCAACGGAACTTATTGTTTTCGGAGGAAAACACGAACACGGTGTACAGTCGAGTCTTAATAGCTTACTTACAACTGGGCTCGTCAGGCACTGTTTTTGGCTGCAGTGGTTATTATTATATTTACATGCTTCCAGCTCCCGTTTTTCCTCGATGACAACTCGTACCTTTCCACTCCCCTTTTTCTCCCTCCTCGCGCTCACAGACCCATAACGTGTATGGCAGTCCATTCTCCCTGCAACACGGACTACACTGCCCATGATGCTACATTCTTTAGAGCTATGCTTGTAGCATTCTGCCTGTTAGCTTAGCACAACAACAACAACAACGAAAAGGCGCTCTCTCACCCAGGAAACACACAGTCGCAGAGAGAGAGAGAGAGCGTCGCCCTGTAACCATGGCAACCGTAACGCTGCCGCCTGGAACAACAGAACGTAGCTGTCAAACAAAACCCAAACAGTCCTGACCCGCGACAAATGAAACAGGAAAGTACCGCAGTGTAATCCATTTATTTCAACAAAGTAACTGTATTCTGAATACCACCTTTTTAAACGGTAACTGTAACGGAATACAGTTACTCATATTTTGTATTTTAAATACGTAACGGCGGTACATGTATTCCGTTACTCCCCAACACTGATAATCATAAAATATAACATATTCATGATGTAAATATATAATAAAATCCCCGCACGCCCCTGCGGGCGGTTTATCCTTCAAGCTCAGGTCCTCTACCAGAGGCCTGGGAGCTTGAGGGTCCTGCGCAGTATCTTAGCTGTTCCCAGGACTGCGCTCTTCTGGACAGAGATCTCCGATGTTGTTCCCGGGATCTGCTGGAGCCACTCGCCTAGCTTGGGAGTCACCGCACCTAGTGCTCCGATTACCACGGGGACCACCGTTACCTTCACCCTCCACATCCTCTCGAGCTCTTCTCTGAGCCCTTGGTATTTCTCGAGCTTCTCGTGTTCCTTCTTCCTGATGTTGCTGTCATTTGGAACCGCTACATCGATCGCTACAGCCGTTTTCTTCTGTTTGTCCGGTTGGTTAGGACCACCATTTTGTCCATCTGTATCTGAAAGTCCCACAGAATCTTCGCTCGATAACCGCTCAAACTGAAGATTTTTCCATCTGTGTGAAAAGGTAGGAAACGCCAGTTCAAGCCAAAAGATACAATGCTAACAAGCCACGGTTAAACATTGTAAAAGATTTCTAACTACCTGAGAAAACACAAAAAGAGGCAGGTGATTATTATGTAGGGACAGGGATGATTCTCAGGCTGTGAAGAATTGTACATTTTCTGCATCTATTTGTAACACCTGGTCAGAGGGCCCGGTGGCGCCAGTGTCCGGCAGCCTCGCCTCTGTCAGTGCGCCCCAGGGTGGCTGTGGCTACAATGTAGCTTGCCATCACCAGTGTGTGAATGTGTGTGTGAATGGGTGGATGACTGGATGTGTAAAGCGCTTTGGGGTCCTTAGGGACTAGTAAAGCGCTATACAAATACAGGCCATTTACCATTTAACACCTATGTGAAAATTAAAATAAAATATTTTCCTTCTTTCCTCCCTTCTGAAATACATTCACATCATCCACTCTCATGCAGAATGACTACCGTAAGCTGTCCATGCAGTGTAAAGACTTTGTGGTGGGTGTGTTGGACCTTTGTCGGGACACAGAGGAAGTTGAGGCGATTTTGAATGGCGACGTGGATCAGTGCCCGCCGAGTCCCTACAACCGTCCCTGCCTCAGCCGTGTCAAACTGGCTATCAAGTATGAAGTCAAGAAGGTAAGACAAAAACCGATTAGCTCGTTAAAAAATGTAATGAATTTTACAAATTGCATTAATTTGCAACATTAAAAATTAGTGTAAAAATTATTCAAAGAATTAGCAATGCAGTATGTAATGCCTTTTTTGTGGGATTAAATTATTTTTGCAGGAACTGTG